CCCCCCCCCCCCCCCCCCCCCCTCAAAAATGAAATGGTCCGCCCTAAAGGCTTGGCTTTATGAGTCGGTTATTGATGTACCCTTAGAACGCAACCTCTGAATTACCGCTGTATATCTCTAAAATTTATGCGGAATGATACACCATGCTTCCTGTTCAGTCGGTTGTTTTTGCTAACCAGCATGCAACTCGGGCCGATTGTACAAAGGCCTGATAGCGTTATTCACTGGATAGTGATTTTTTCGACAGCTGTAAAAATGCTAAAAAATTACAAAGCTGCAGACATGAACCTCACAAATAATAAATAGAAACTTCAATTTATAAATGCAAAAGTTTCAGTACCGTAATTAGAGTGTTCTGCCCGACGGATTTCCTTTGAAAGCGATTGCTTTTACGGTATGTGAACATGAATATATGAATATGTACTCCCCCCCCCCCCCCCCCCCCCCCACCCTCAATTATATTATTTATATCCCGTATAGTTACGGCCCTGAAAAGTTTAATCTGGCGGGTCATATACCAATCAACCGAAAGTTTTGGAAAAAAACGGTTACTATACCAGGTGGGTAGCCGGGTAGCGCTATCCGGTCTTCATGCAGCTGGCTCCAAACATGTTGGAGACAGAGGATTTTGCTATGCTACAAAAAAATCTTAAAAAAGAGTCAGAATTACTTTTCATGTTCGTTCATGTTTCTTCCAGCAATCTTGCAGCTTGTGTTAACAAACCGAATTTCCTCTTTTCCTCGCACGCCTTCACGTAAAACTTTGAATAAATTTTTGCTATTCTGGACCCTTCCTTTTCTCTGCCTTGACCACCCAGTTACCATGATCATAATATTGTGTCAAAACTTTCAGTGCCCGAACACTTTGCACGAGTTCTGACAATTCGTCTTTTATAAAAACATGATAAAATCTTTTAAAACGTCCTACTTGTGAACTGGAACTTTCACCATTTCCATTACAGCTTATTGAATCATTTATCCCTCGATGCATCCTTCCACTGTTGTACTCTAAGATAGCGTTATCGCACAGAGAACTCCTTTTATATTGTTTTGTTTTATCCAGCTTTTGCTTAGATTTCACTGATAAAACGTCACTACCTTTTACTGATGTTACAAGGCTATTGCCATTGCAATTTGTTTGGCATTGGTAATATTGATTGGAATCTGTTTCATCGAACTTTCTTCCATCGTCAGACTGTAGTTTTCGTCCTTTGGAAAACGAAAAACTTTGCAGTTTTTCTTTCAACTCTGCAGTGAAATTATTGATAGAATTTATGAGCGATGAATTGCCTTGTTGCTCTTCATTATCAGATAACTGATCGTCATCAACGTTACTAAAAAAATCTCTTGTATTTGTCTCATTTGGCAGCTTAAATCTTGAATCTTCATTTTCAGTATTAGTTACACTCTGTTCGTCTAAACATCCATTTGTCTGAAAATATGTCCTTCTCGTATTTATATTATTTGTTTGTATATCATGATCGTCAAATCCATTCCCTTCTCTTTTCTCGTTTTCAAGCGTCCATGGAACTAGCACATCGTGAGAACTAAACTAAAATGAAAACGAATTCTTCTGAAATTACTTTCTCTTATTTGAAAGAGCATGGAAAACTTTTTTACAGGTTTTTCAAATATTTCTTAGTACTTGAAATATTTTGAATGAAAACATTATAAATGACCGAGCTGACCGGCATCTTGGACGATGTGGGACTCGTTTGAACGTGGCTTTATGTCACAACCGTCATTAATATGAGCCAAAAATTATTACAGTAACAAATTGACTGGCAACCACTTCTATAATTGTTATTCGGTCACCTTGGAGAAATAATTTCTAACCCTGTTTACGACCATACCAATTAAAACCACCGTTAATGAGATCAAAAATTAATCCAAAATGGCGGACTGTGCATTGCTTTCAGTCAAAATATTTCAAGAGCAAAGCGAGATAGGAAAAATCGGTAAAAGAGTTTTATTTATAATTGTTTCAGTGTTCACAAATGAGACAGACTAAATTGTTATCGTTATATCCCTTTAACAGTTATATAATTTTGCACTTTAACATCGAGGCAACATTGGTAACCAAGGAAACATTACTGATGAATGAAAACTGGAATTTTTATTTCGAGTCGTGCCCAAACCACACCCACTTTTACGACTACACTCCATTTCTTAACTCTCCTGATGTACCATGAGAGAGTTAGCGTAAATGATATGAGATAATGATATGAGAGTTACCAATTCTTTAATTTTGTGTTAATAAGGTTGGAAAGCACTAACGGTTAACAGCATCTTAGTACAATTTCTTCTTTCTGCATGTGTAGCCGTTCAAGTAGTTAGAATTTTCAATACTACCGTATAGTTTTTCGATTGACGGAAAGAGATTTATTATAAAACGTTGGGAGATTTAATTGGGAAATTGGGTTTGGTCGTTAGAATGTACGTAGGCGTGGTTTGAACGTTGCAAAATCTTCATCCTCGTACCCAGAGATGACCGTAGCACCAGAGTGTGAGAGAAAATAGCCTGAGTGCGAGGTTGTAAATTGTCCTGATTCCTTCCGATATCTATTTGACAAACCAACATGACGTTCCGAAGATGAAATGTTTTCGCGAAGCCAATCATTCCAATAAAATCGACAGAACATTCAAAACACAGTATAGAGTAATAAATAGTTATTAGTATCTACATACACACCTTTCTTTGTTTTTGTTCCCACGCCCAGACATAAATCAGGATTTGACCTCCAGGTTTAAGAATACGTGCAAGTTCTTTGACACTTTGTAACCTTCGTTCAAACGAAGCAAAATGATGAATTACACCCACTGATATAACTGCATCCATTGTTGAAGGACGGTATGGTAAATTCAAGTTGTTCGCAATGATTATATTTTTATGACGTTCATAAGCTAGTTGAGATAACTCTTGACAGATATCCACACCATGAACAACAATGTCATTTCTTACTGCTAGGTACTTGCCATTTCCACAGCCTATAGCAAATTTTATCAACGGTTAAGATACGGGTTAACATGAATAATTTATTAATACTGGATATCTCTATCAGCCTGTTTTAAAGTACTATTTAATAAACGAGCAGGAGTGTTTTATTAGGTTTAAAAGCCACGGCACGTGACATATTATGGTTGACATGATTTGCCAATAAGCTTATGAATTATTAATGAGTGTTTGAAATTAGTATAATCTTCTCTCTAAAGTTCCAGTGGAGATAATCACTTAAGGTGCTCCATATGGTAATCCTCCTAAAACCCCATATACAAAATCGCGAAAACAAAACTTTATGCCACATACTGAACAAACCTGGTACCGGTGGTCATTCATTTCCGCAACCTCGTTCCCAGGCTCTTTGCTCTTGGGAAGCTTCCCAAGAGCAAAGAGCCTGGGAACGAGGTTGTCATTTCCGCGGGAATGTGAACTACCACCAATAACAATAACCAATATGACCTGAGGTGGTGAATTGCTTACGCCATCTTGCGTCATTGCTCGTGTTGTATAGCGTTTTGCATGTCAACTGCTAATATCGTTAAAAAATCCAATTTTTGAAACACTGTGCGCTATATCTCATTATTTTGTCTGGTGACCTATGCTCAAATTTTGCATGCTTTAATAATTTGAAAGGAGAAACATGAAAATATTTGAACATTCTGATATCCACGATGTATAAAACCCAAAAATGCGAAATTTAAATGCCCAACTGTTGTATTATTTAAAGTTGTATCGACCCACCTCTCATGTACATTAGGCGAAATTATAATCAGACAATGTATATTCCAGGAAGGGATGAAAGGCACAATCATGCACTGAGCACTGACTGCACAGGCAATACTGTTGCTCGTCGGTCGTGCAAGTATGAAAATCATAATCAAAACAATAAGTAGATAGTGTAAGCAGTGATATAGGAGGGGCTATTCTATCTTGTACTTGGGAGATTTGATTTATTATATTGATCATTTGCAGAATTACTGAAGTCTTCTTACTGGAGCGTCGCATTTTATACGCATAACCTCAATCCTCAATTTTATTTTGAATTTTATTCAGTATTATACATAATGTTTGTAAGTTTGTAGGTAACAATTTGAAGGATCCTAAGGAAAAATTTTTAATCACGAAAACGAGGCTGTACAGCCAACGTTCAGTACTTTCCAGAAGGACGTATTAATTTTAAAAATATTCAAGTGCGTCTTATTTCTTGAAATTGGTTAGGGTAATTTTTTGAAATATTGTAGGGTATAAACGGCCCTCTCCTCCGCAGATGCCTTACGTGACCTTTCGTAAGGGGGAAAAGTAATTACGCAAAGTAAATGTACAAGTAGATGTCTTGGTTTCAGGTTTCAACGAAAAGAGAAGTGCATATGAAACGAAAATGTTTATTGTCTGATTTAAAAAAACTATAGAGCAACTTCTTTTGCAGTTTTTCGTTCCGTTGCTTCGTTTTCTAGATATTTCAGTTAGTTTGATGCACGTGTCATGGTTTCCACGCCACAAAGTGCAACCATATAATTAACAGTTATTCCACGAACTCAAGTCGAATATGAGCTGATAGCCGATGAGGCGCGTAGCGCCGAATCGGCTATCGCTCATATTCGACGAGAGTGAGTGGAATAACTGTTTTATTATATACACAAGGTCTGAATTCACAGACTTTGCTTTTCGGAAATTTTCAATATTTTCCTGTTTTGTTTATGTTTTTATCTTCGCTCTTTCGGCCGATTATTTTTTCAAAAATATATTCTTTTAACCATTTCAAATTTTAAAAATTCATTTGCTAACCTGTAAACAATTTTTGGGAGTTTTTTCATTGTGTTTTTAATCCTGTAAAGGCTATAAAAAGCGAACAACTTGCCGTTTTCTCATTCGCAAACGTCGGAAATTCAGTTTCAGCCGCCATTTTGTTTTTCGCTACTAGCAGGATATGACTATATGAGCTAATATCCTGCTAGTAGAGAACCAATCAGATTGCAGAATACCTGATATCCAGACCTTGTGTATATAATAAAGTTGTATATCCTTGCTATTATCAAACATGCAAAATCGCATTTTAGAAGCATATCCATTTGTACGGTTGTTCTACAACATAAAATGCTTGGATTCTCTAGTAATTTCATTTCATAATAATTATGCATATTTGTGATGCAGAACCTTGACACGTATATCCTAGGGCCCAACCTCGCCTTTACTCTGCAGGCGGCACTTAATTTTCAGGTTATTCGACTTCACGTGGTAGGATGCAGTACTTTTCGCTTCGCTCTTGCATCGCCCCGCCCCCAAATTGCTAGGTTCCAGTCTTCTCACGTGAAAAGCGCTGAAATTTGCTGAAATATAAATAGAAAGCCCTATTACAGAGAAATATCTTTGCCGACTTGACTTGATCACGTAAACGTCGTGAGCAGTCCACAATACGAACAACCATAGCCTATCGATGCGAAGATGGCTGTGAAACTCATTAGAATAACAACAAGAAGTAATTAAGAAGTCCATGCATGTTCACAATAAACACGTTATCTGGATTAAGATTGTAAAGAATCTGGTAAAATTTACTTGCTGTACGTACGTTGTTCCATAGCTTATCGAAGGGAAGATGGCTGTGAAACTTATTAGAATAACAATATAACTCATTATCTATGTTAGTCAACGTTTATTCCTAAATCTAGTTCTTCACCGTCACGTTGCGTATATTGTATTTTTGTCGAACTAACCAATAGCAATGTTTTCGGAAAGTTACCTATCCGTGACTCGAAGTTTCGAACAATAGGGTAAATTGGAAATTGCTATTGGTAGATTTGGCACAAATACAATACACACGTGACGGTGAAGGACCATAATTATGAATAAACGTTGACTAACATAGACTAAATGAGTTATATATTCCAATGTTTCAGTGGAGTATCAGCCGAGTTGAAGAAGAGCGTGGCACCGTGCTGCACAGATAAATTATAGGCCAATTTTTAGAAACAATGAACAATGCATGCAGCGAGAATAAAAATATGGCAGCAGAGAGCAACATCAACCGAAGCGTTCCGCGGCTGTAGGTGTGCTCTGTTAATGGCAGGGGCGGCGTAGCCTTTTTTTTTGGGGGGGGGTGTAAGTGAAATTTTGCCGAGTCATTTCCCCTATCTATAAGTTTTGCTCAAAGTATTTTATTTTCGTTCCTTCCTATTCAAATTCATGTTTTGCCGACTGAGAAAACAATTTGCCGACTAACAGAGGAGTGGGAGGGGATGGGGAGGGGGGGGGGGGGGGCTTTTAGCGCCGCCTCTGGCAGTTGGTGTGAGAGATCAGTTGAGTTGAAAGTTAATGTAAGACCTGCATGCGTAGTACAACTGCGATACAACGGTCTGAGAAAGAACTTAGAGATCACCCTATCTTCTAAAATATCAAAGAAACTTACCAACGTCAGCCACAAAGCTTCCTGCTCGTAAACTAAACAAGAAATTCTTTATTTCAGGCCAAGGCCCATCACACAAACCATCATAACTTAATGCTTGACTTGAGTAAACATTATGAACATATTTATACTCGAGTTTTTTCGCTCTTTCTTCCCAACATCTCTTATTCCCACTCATATCAAATCAGATTAATATGTAATTGTCAGCTTTGATCTACCTCTTCATCTAAATAAATGGAAACGAATAAATTCTGACGTATATATATATATATATTGTTGGCACTAAATCAAGCAGCACTAAACGTTGACGTCAACACACATGCTGATTACTGTTATCTTCACGTTTAATAAGTGTAAAATTATTTTAAGAGTGGATAGCGGGGGTATAACAAGGACTACCGACTATGACGATTCTTTTGTACCTACTGTACCTTCTCAATTTTGGAGAGCATATGTGGTCTGTGTCGAAACACTGCGTGTGTAAAGTGTGTAGTCTCAGCACCTGTTTTTCACACCAGTTCAAAGCCGGTATACACGACTTGCACAGGCAGTGAATAGATCAATATTTTGAACTCTTATATGTTCGGATATTATAGTTTAACGCGTTAGGCATTGGAAGATCGCGCAATTCCTTTTCCTGGACCAGAATCTGGGGCTGGGGGATAATTTTACGCTATTGCCATCGGCGGGGGAAGCTTGGCTTGGGGCGGGGGGAGATAAACAAACTCTAGGGGATCCGGGGGCATGCACCGCCAGAATATTTTGAAAAATAGCCTTTCTAAAATGCATTTCCTGCGTTCCGAGGAAGATTTGACACGCAGAAACCTCCTACAACAACGGTTTCAAGCCACATAACGAGGAATTATGAATACTTAATATGTAATAAACTTTGGGGGCTTAACCCCCCCCCCCCTTTTTTCTACTTTTGCGAAGTGTGGGGACGTTTAACACCGCTCGCCCTCCCGGTTCCGTCGCCTATGTTATATGCTCTGCTCTACAAACGTATAAACATCGTCATCGGTGTTACTCGTCATCGGTGCTACAAGTGACACTCAAAATCGAAATCTATACATATGATAGCATTATATAAAGCTATTTGCAGCTGTGGACTATATGGTTTATGCTTATTTCATATATTCATATGATACTAAAATGCGACAATTCTGCCTTATTTGATAACATAAATTCTATTTTCACATTACCTTTTCAGTGAACCTTGAGCTGTTTAATAAGCAGTTAAGTATGAATTATAATCATATCTTATTTCCCTGGCTTTGTATACTCTTTAAATCAGCACAATCTATTTACGAGTGCATGTAAAACATTATTTGACAAATAACAAGCGAATGTATATTTCATGATATAAAAGTAGAAAAGCCTGAACGCCTATCGCAACATCGACCATCTACATATTAAGCTCCACAACATCAATAATTTTTAATCTTTGAGCCAAAATCTTTTGTCGATGTGCAGATGTTTTGCTTATCGCCGCGTCAAATACGCAACATATATAGGACGCTATGCATAATTTTACTTAGTTATAAGGAAAACCTTTTGTTAATGTTTCAATAAAAAAACGCCCATGCCGAACACGTGGCAAGTTAATTCAAAACAAAACCAAAAACCGTGAAATTGACAAAGAATAAGTATATACGGACACACATATGGCAGGTGATGATTTTCATTTTAATGATATCGAGGAATATATCAATTAGTTTTGACAACAACATGTTGTTGCTACCCGACAATGTTTCATGTACTTATAGTATATATATATATATATATATATATATATATATATATATATATATATATATATATATATATATATATATATATATATATATATATATATATATATATATATATATATATATATATATATATATATATATACACACACACACGCACACACAGAGTATAAACTGAAGCCAGTATAATTATTGGTAACATGTTTTCAATTGAGCCGTTTCAACAAACCGATAATACAGCATTTTCTTATCAGTAAACCGCTTAGTTCTTCCATTTCTGCATGCATGATACAGAAAGAAATTAGATTCTTTTTTTTTCGAACTGAAGTTCATTATCATCAATTCATTATTTATACCAAATTCATTGCAAACGAAAATATATTTAGAGACATGCATATAGAAATTTTCAAACCGGCTCTTTTCAAATCACCTGATCACAGGACAACACAATGGGCCACGGGGTCAGTTGTTCAAAGCTATAATCTCACACCCCGATCTCTGGGTACGAGATTAGTTCAAAACTAGATTAGTGCTAACTTGGGTTAAAATTTAACCTGTCTTAGTTCGTGACTTGGTGTATTTCTGCATATCTGTTCATTTCAAAACTTTAGAAAATACAACTTCTGATGATCCAGACACAGGATTCCTAGAAAAATACTTCCATATTTATAAACAACCTAGCCTAGGGATAGGATGAAGCGAACTGGCTTTCGAAGAACCACATGCAGCAATACACAATACCTTGCGACATACGGAATAGGGTAAAAAATTTATTAGGTTGTACAAATATTTACAAAAAACTTGCATTATAACATAACTCATGTTTACATGAGCTGAACTACATGTACGCGTATACAGAAATTTATACAGGATTCAGAATGATTTTCACTGCTACTATACTACTACAGTACAAAACCTCCTCCATATACAAAGATGGTGTAAACCTCTCGTTGAATAAGCATGCAACTCTTGCCATCATTCTTTTCAGTCTTGTGAGTCTTTCCTAAAGGCCCATTTCCTGCACTCAAGAAAAATTTCCACGGACAGAAAATTTTCCAAAAAGTTTGGAAATTTGTGTCCGCCAATCACATTTTACAAACGTTTCTTTCCGTGGAAAATTTTCCCGAGTGGAAATGGGCTTTAACAACTCTCGTTAGTAGTATATAAAGGTTCGCAAACATCAACATGTGATGACCATGCATGACAAATCTGTATATACCTGTACATTGATCTTATCCAAATTTTGGTCGCTGCATGGTCCCGTATGAAACGTACTGAATAAAAGTAGCGGTAAAATTCGATTTTGAAGTCCTCCCATGCCAGTTCGATACATGTTAAATTAATTATTTTTCACATCCATTTGAAAATTTATCTATTATACATGCAGTGACACAGTGTGCATCCCAAAAACAAAATATTTGAATCTTTTTAAATCACATGCTGTTTATAAAACAGAACGCATAATTAATTCTATTTCAAGCTGGTTTTGCTTTCTTTGTGACACACTGCGCATGGTTCTCTTGCACAAATTTTAAATATATATATATATATAGAGAGAGAGAGAGACCTTATTGTCATGATTCCTGCATTCTATCGAAGACACTGTATCAAAGACTACTGCAGTATAGGCCGAAATTTCGGCACTGCCCGATGTCATATGTCATAATTTTAAAATATGTATACCTATATTCTTTGGGCATAGTACAAAACATGGACTGGACTGGACAGTTGGACTGGACAGTTGGACTGGACTGGACAGTTGGACTGGACTGGACAGTTGGACTGGACTGGACAGTTGGACTGGACTGGACAGTTGGACTGGACTGGACAGTTGGACTGGACTGGACTGTTGGACTGGACTGATTTTTACATTTTCTCTATTCTTGACTTGCACGTCACCCGCCATGTCAGATGGCATGGCACAAAAGAATATTTTATCACAGAATAGATATACCATGTCATGTCTATTTTGTGATTTTATCGATCGGAACATTGTCTGGTGTGTACCAGGAGGAGATTGGCTGCAAGTCAAGAATATAACGTTTTGCACCTGAATTACTTATGATTTTCGGAAATTGAAATATTTTACCTTCGCCGATGACCTCACTTTATAACTGGAGTGAAATCTCAGTAAGAAACCTCAGTAAGTAGAAGAGAATACAATACCAGACATAAACTACTTATCTGTCTTTGCTATGGGTAGCCTGCTCGCATACGTATTAAATTTCGATATTTCAGTCTGCATGGCCATGGGTGTAGGAAGATCGGTATTTTTGGGGGGCTCATAAAGCAATCAATTTCAAAAGAAGTAAATGATGCAGAACACGAATATATGAATATGAGCCCCCCAAAATATCGATCTTCCTACGCCCATGGCCATGCAGACTGAAATATCGAAATTTAATACGTATGCGAGCAGGCTACCCATAGCAAAGACAGATAAGTAGTTTATGTTTGGTATTCTATTCTATTCTATTCTACCTACTGGGATTTCTTTCGCTTTAAGAGATTTCACTCCAATTATAAAGTGAGGTCACCGGCGAAGGTAAAGTATTTCAATTTCCGAAAATCAATCCCAAAGTAATTCAGGTGCAAAACGTTATATTAATGACTTGCAACCAATCTCCTCCTGGTACACACCAGACAATGTTCATTGATAAAATCACAAAATAGACATGGTAAATCTATTATGTGCCATGCCACCTGACATGGCGGGTGACGTGCAAGTCAAGAAAAGAGAAAATCAAAAATCAGTCCAGTCCAGTCCAACTGTCCAGTCCATGTTTTGTACTATGCCTATTCTTTGTTTGCAATGACGTAATTTTGGGATTTCAGTTGACGGGAAGGTACAACAAAAAACAGCTACTTTATTTTTAATGTATTGATCGAGTTTAGAGGCAGTTTAAGACTCAAAGATGAATTAAAGTTCAGTTTTTCTTGCTATATACAACCATTCTGATAGGAGAAAAATCGTCCACAAGTTGTTTGATTGCCCGTCATTTGGAATAAAAGTCACGTGATTACAAACAAAGAATACTCAGAGTTTATGTTGTACTATTTCATACTAAATAAATAAAATAGTGAGTGACGTTCAGTGCAGGCGTTTATTTGACAAAATAAAGTGAATAATCTGTACTACGCTACTTTTAATATGATTCACTCGTTTGATAATTGTTATTTTGTGCATCTCAAGTTATATATCTTGTCTATATAGTATATACCTTTTGCACATCACAAAAATAATTTTCTTGGTATCAGTCTCTTTTACACAACTGATTCCATGCTCTTAGACTTTCCATGAATATTATTCGTATCCTTATGGTTTTTATTATTGGTATCTTCCAACCCAATACCACTCTCATCATCCAAAGGTACTTTGGGTTCGTCCGGATTCTCCTCTCGTAACAGCGCGTAAGAACCAGCTCCCTTCATTGTCGGTATTGTGTCAGCTTCGGGTATGGGTGCAACTGCCTGAGTGTAGGAATCTGTGGGGGGTGTTGGAAGTGGTGCATTCGAATCATAACTAGAGAGAAGAAATGAATATTAATATTGTGAAGATTCATGCGTAAAAAGTATCTCTATTGTGATTTCAAATGAGTGGTTTGATTATGGTATTTTTGTTCATAACGACGGTTATAAAATTGAACTTGCAGTTCCCCCTTTGCGCCCGTTCACAAGAGTCCAGTTAACTAGAAAACTCACGAGAGCGAGATCAGCATGTCCTTTGTCAACGCATATAAAATTCAATTTGTGTCCATACGAGAAACGAGCCAGCGTAGCTAGATGAGATCTCAACTTGTACCGGGTGGGATCTCAGTCCAGTGGGATAAAATTTTTCATATGAAGTTTCATCCCACCTGACTGGGATGGATATTTTTGACCTTATAATACAACGTAGTGTTGAACGGTATGGTTGGAAAATACAAACAAAAATAAACATTAATATAAATATTTCGAAGAAACTATGCCTCATCCCACTGAGGTGGGTTATTGATAGGTGGGATAAAAACAGTCATATAAACATAGAAATCTTTAATCTCACTCACTCAGGCTCATATAAATAGGCCCTACACGAAAAAAAATTACCGTAAACCCTCTTCATGCACCTTTGAAGACGTAAGGAGTTGTTGGATAGGAGTGACTAAATAGAGGGGGGCTTTTGAATGAGCCAAAACACAGCAAGTAATAAGTGAAAGTAACGTGAACTTCCATGCAAATTTATAGTAATTAGTACGAATATAGTGGCCAATCAAGCTTCCATAAACAGTAGCATAAAAACTGTTGAAATGAAATGTTGTCATATAAAAGTTTATCAGCTGAAAAAGTCTTCGAACTGAAAATGTTAATTATAGTAGTTTTTAATCTTTTACTCTTATGAGCGAATTAATAACTTATTATGTCTCCAATTATACAAATTAGACGGTATTGAACGAGTCTTACCCATGCAGTTTAGTAGACATCAGCAACGGTTGCAAATAATAATCTGATTTTGGTTTAACAAGTTCGTCTTTTTCCTTTGCAGCTTCAATTTCTTCTGGACTAGCTTCCACGTGTAGATAGGGATTTGCCTGGTATCGTACAATGAGACACATGTTGGTAAATGTGATCATACACAACCTCGTATCCAGGGCCATATTGCACTCGGTCATTCGTTCATACATGACCTCGTATCCAGGGCTATATTGTACTCGGTCATTCGTTCATGCATGACCTCGTATCCAGGGCTATATTGTACTCGGTCATTCGTTCATGCACGACCTCATATCCAGGGCTATATTGTACTCGGTCATTCGTTGAAAGTAAATAGCGAAAGCAAAGGACTCTGGGTACGAGATTGTGATGATACAAGGAACATTATTTAATAACTACAGTAAAGCACGCAATGTTATTGGTCAATACTTGTGCGGAAGACAATCCTGTACGGAAAATTTGTAAATGCCTTCGCGCAGGCTTTTTAAATTGTCGGACAATGAAAACATTTTAACGTGTGAAGTTATTGATGAAGGCGTTATAAAGAACACTCGTTGGGGATAGCGACTTACAAACTCTGTCTTTGATTGGTCAGTTTACGATTGTTGTGAGAATGGAAAATTTCATCAATAATTTTAATAAAGTTAACCAGGAAAAAACACTGGGCACAAGACAGTATCAATATATCACGATTTCGGACATCTCACTCGATATAATTGACCACTTGCGTAATAGACTAAATTTTGATCTAGACAAAAATTTCATCACAGCTTGAAAGAGCATCACAAAATTAGTACAAGGCTATATTATATATTGGATTCGCAAGGCTATATATTGGATTCTTGTCAAAGGTACATTTTCGCAACTGCTCTTGCTTAGGTCTAATACATGTATAAAAAACTCGAAATTCCCATCTACAAATGCCTTTAGTATCAATATACCATCCTAATAGCAATGGTGTTCTTATAGTTTCAGTACCTTCACTCGCATTGAGACGCATCTATAAAACAACACAACCATTGAGGAGCACTGTTTAAACAACACAACCTACCTTTTCCATGTGTCTTTCCAGTATCCTTCCCAGATGTTCGACAAGAGTTGCAAATGTCGGTCTCGCCTCAGGCTCTTCTTGCCAGCAATCTCTCATTATTGTGTAAACCTCCAGAGGACATTTATTAGGTTGTGTCATACGTTTCCCTTCATTTAAGAAATCTAGCAGTTGTTCAGCAGGAAGATCTGGATACGGTGTTCCTCCAAGTGTCATCATTTCCCATAATAAAACACCAAATGACCAACTACATAAATACAAGCAAGAGAGTATAAAAATTGATTAAGAAAACAAAACGTGGACTGAAATATACATGCTGTCAGCAAAGATTGTCACTTTAAATGTTCTTCATTTTTAATTTAAAGTTTACACATGGAATTCTCATGAATGTCTATACAGCAAGTTGATGGAAAACTGAAAAGTTTACATCGTCGCTATGTTTATTGAATATTGTTCTTGTTTTCTATATAACAGCCTATCGAGTATCGTAATTCATCCGCGACTACGGCGATTGTCGCAGAAATAAAAAATTGTTTTGCTGCGACAGTCGGCGGTAGTTGCAGACATTCTGCGAAAATAAAACCAGATAAAACAAATGAAAACACTATTCGCGAGTTGTCGGCGACAGTTAATGAAAACCAGCCTTAATGTATATAATGCAATTATGTGAACTTTACTAATCGCGGGTACTTACACATCACTTTGATGAGTATAGACACGATCAAATAGAGATTCCACAGCCATCCACTTCACTGGTAACATACCACTTGATGTCTTCACATACACGTCATTTTGATATATATCTCTTGCGAGACCAAAATCTGATATTTTCATCACATATTCGTCAGCAACAAGGATGTTTCGTGCGGCAAGATCACGGTGAATTAACTGTATAAACAAATATGTATAAATTCGTAAATATGTAAAAATTTGAAAATTTAATAAATCAGCGATTTGTAATTCTCTGCAGCCAACACGAATTTTGAAATTAAGACAAAATTTACCTCCGTGAAATTTTCGTAAAAACAAAGATCATATTTTATAGACATGCACTTTTGACATGCACATGCATACATAAGTGCAAATATTATACCTCAAATTCAAAGTGTCCAATCAGAAAGCTAAGTTTGTGCTATGTGAGCATGAAATTTATCATCGAAACACGCCCTACGTCATCGTATTTGACGTAGCGGATGAATTCAATCACACCACACGATGATTTGATCACATCACCCTGGTGATATGATTCGCGTAACCCATGCGCGCGGCGATCAAACAAACAAGATGGCCGACAAAATATACTAAGGAATGATAAATTATTAAATTTTTTTCGATTTTGAATCAATATTCCAAACGATATGTGATTTTAAAGAAAAGTGACAAACATAAGGTATGCGGCAAGTTTTATATTCTCAACTTGGAGGCCTTTAATTTTCTGTATAATATATCATTTACAGACCCTCCCGCTCGGCGAAATAGCCCCGAAGGAAATGTCATCACTGAGGGTAATATTTCACCAAATCCCCCTCGCTCCAGGTCTATAAATGATAAGTGTATACGTCATATACACTTTACATGCGCGATGATCCATCAATGCAATCAAGAAACATAAATGCACAGAGAGAAAACTTCCACTCATCACACTACTCTATTGTAATTAATGCTTATAATTATTTGTTATACAAACAATGAATGTTTATGAGTGCAATGGTAAAACATTTTCATGAGGAGAAAAGATGGAATTTTCCATTCATTATTTGTTTTGTATAACACCCAATATCTGAGTTGCATGTACAATGTTTAAAAGTGATAGAAATCCATCAAAATTGCAATACATTGTATTGTATTGTGACGAATCATTAAACTATATTAAACACTCATGTTTCGCTCGTTACTCTGGTTTAAATAAATGATTACAAAGCCCAGTCGAATTGTAATCAAGACCCAACGTTTCGACACTCCAGTCTAGTGTCTACATCAGGGGTGATCTAAAACTGCGATCGTGGCTTCTTAAATACCCAAGGGATGACGTCACCTGCCAAGAAGATGCATATATTCCTCTGGCAAATAGGCACCGTCATCCCTATTCAAAGATGACGGTGGGATGACGGCGCCTATTTGCCAGAAGAATATATGCATCTCATTGGCAGGTGACGTCATCCCTTGGGTATTTAAGAAGCCACGATCGCAGTTTTAGATCACCCCTGATGAAGACACTAGACTGGAGTGTCGAAACGTTGGGTCTTGATTACAATTCGACTGGGCTTTGTAATCATTTATTTAAACCAGAGTAGCGAGCGAAACATGATTGATATACCTGGTTGCAGTGAACGAACAAACTTTATATATTAAACACATTACCTTCCGTGAAGCTAAAAAGTCCATTCCTTTTGCAATTTGAAATGCAGCACCGACAATATCAATCAACGTAAACTCTTTGTCAGGATCATATATCTCTTTTACCCAAGTACTGTTGTACATATCTCGTTTGGATCTCAGAAACATAAGCAGGTTTCCATATGGACAAAACTCTAGAATAACATATAGTTTACGTCCGGTGGTACACGCACCAAGTAGATTAACAATATTCTTATGTTCACCAATGTGGATCATCAGCTTTAATTCAGCTGCCAGATCACGGATCTCATTTTCTGTCGCTTGGCCTGAAATAAAACAAACATTGATTATATACCCGATAATATACAAGTGATTATTTATGTTGTATGAAATGCGTGCTTTATAATACTACAGGTAGCTATCACACACTAATGAACAAAACACAAGAAGTAATGGCCTGATTTAACCCCATCCCTCACCAGTTTTCGTAAAATAATCACGAAAATAATAGTTGTTTGTCAAATAATCGCAATTTCAAGACCAAGTGTTAGGAAATCCTGAAACTACCAAAAATGAAAATACTGAAATTACGTACAGTGAAAATACAAAAAGTGTCCCACTTCCGCTTCTGTAGTGTGTTGTGATTTACTGTAATTTGTTCTGTTTTTCTACAGCGGTTACCAATTTATTGGCAAAAACCGCGATAAAATTTAAATTTCGCACCTTTTATGCAATGAATCTAACGAAACATGTATTCCTTTTGCTACAAATTATCATATACAAAAACAAAACTCAATTTTATCCCGGTATTTGCGATAAATCTGTAATCGCTACAGAAAAATAGAACCGAAATTACAGTAGTCTGGTGGCAGTTCTCAAAAATATCGTGTTCGATGGACATTTAGAGTAGAAGCGGGAAACAGGGCTTAAAATGACCGCGTTGTGATTCTTTTTAAGAATATCACTGTTTCCAGCTTCAAGTTTCCTTTTTCTTCTTGTAAAAACTTAGGTAGGGTAGGTAGGTATGTAGGGTAGGTTTTTTTTAAATTAAACTTATTTTTTTTAATTTTCCTAACAACCGGACGGCATCACAGAGGATATACTACTCTGTGACGGCATGTTTGTTTAGTCAGTGCTTCCACATCCAAAGATAAATTTCCCTAACATTGCCTTAAATTTCCATTTTCCACAAACGTTTCGTTTAAGTGGAAACACTTACAAGCATGATCCAATAAAACAGTTTAGGGACGGGATTTCGGCGTCCAAAAGGTAGGTACATGTAGGGTCGGGAAACCGGAAACCCACATATTTTTTTTACCTTACCAAATGATATTTTGACTCCCCTTAAATATGCCCAGGTTAAACCGTTTACAACAATTCTTACCTTTAACGCTTTTCACTGCCACGACGGCGTTGGATAAATCACATGGAATAGTTTTCTTTTTAGGTCTTTGACTTGCTCTCAGAGACCGCCTTATCTTTGATCGTCTCTTGTTAGCAATACTGCTCTTATCTCGAGGATTGAGACCAAGAATACCCATTGCTTCAGCTTTATAGACTTCACCAAATGCACCAGCACCAAGTCGTTCACCCAACACAAGTCGTTCAAATGGAAATTCCCAATCTGAATCGTACGGTAAATTCATGCTTTGTTCGTTCAATGTCAGACTCGGATCAACCTTAAATATTAAGTTGTGAAGTTAAGCCTTTTTTCATGCCTCTACCAAGCAATTGATAAAACAACAAACGATTGTGAGAAACAGAGCACTTAAACATAAAAGTACAGAAATATAAAAAATCGAATTGGAAATGGAGACAAAAATGAAGAAATAAAAGCCAGTGAAGAATGAAAAGGCCATATCACGTCAAATTAAACTGTTTACATGATGATACAGCAGATCTGCCACATACACATTAGCTCAGATAATTTTACTTGCAAGAAATGGGCATAAGGGATTACAAAAGCTTCGTTTTACATTGCCCATCATATAGTGTACTAGTGTATGTAAAAAATGTTGGTGCATTATATTCTGCCTAACACGAGACAATTTAACGGGACAATAGCGGATTTCTCACATGGATAAAAAGTTAAAAAATAAATCGTACTCACTGAATATTCTCCAGTTCTCAAGAAATATTGGTGTTTGTAAAAGAGTAATTTCTTTTGTTGTCTTCTATACCACAAGAAGATGATAATAAATACCACAACCAGAAATATTGTAACACCGATCACAATTCCAACAATGCTTCCTGCTCCCATGCTATCACCACTAGGTAAAGGTGGAGAATATTTCTCTAAATAAGATACAGGAAGTTAGCATTGGTGTAGTCCTAAAATTTAACAAGGGGGGGGGGGCTCTTCAAGGGAGACCTTGGGCCATGATTGATGAACCACATAAACTTTTCAATTCTTGGATCTCTGAAACACGATTGCCAGCATTTTAAGTGATGTTATAAAATGTATAGTAAAAGAAAATGTAATTGTTAACAATTATTGGATGAGGCTGAGCAGGATATCCAGAATTATTTAGACCGAGGTCAATGTTATCTGCCGAAGCCGAAGGCTGATAACATTGACCGAGGTCTAAATAATTCTGGATATCCTGCGCAAGCTGAATTCAATAATTGTTTTATTATTCATTTTCTGACAGAAAGGAAAGAAAACAAAACAAGCAACAATTGAAAACAAATAAATATTCATTGAATTGATTAACTTTTCGTAAATTCAACTAAAAATTTCCCGCCAATTTGTATTTTCACATAAAATACCGCTGAAATATCTCGGGCGCCGTCCAATAACCTCTGCAGATTACTGTTTCCGCTGGAAATAGCGCAGGCACCTACAAATACCCAAAATTATTTGTAGGCTCTTAGCCAATGAAAAACCGAGAACACAGTACAATGAATAATAATAATTATAATTGCTACAAATACGATTATATGCAAAATGCTATTTAAAGTCGCAGCAATTTATTATACTATCAAAGGGCCCACAGTAATTGGTGTAAACTGTTGTGGTGTCCCTGCCTCTTGTTTTGTCTCATGTATATGAATTGTTGTGCTTGTATTGTGTACGTTTTTTGTCAAGGCGAAGCTAAATAAATAAATAAATAGATTATCTCACCCACACTAAGCTAACCGGGCCCATTTTCCACTACACCGCTGGGTTTAAAAAGTTGATAGGAAAACACTCGTAAAATTGTGATCTTGGCTACATATCCTTCCGCGTTTATAAAAAATAAAGTTAAACACACCCTCGCAATTTTTATAAATCGTGGTAGACAAGCAGCAGTTCGACGGCAATTTTTTGTCTCCTAATAACAATTTGAAGATTTAAAAGCTTGACTTGACAATTTGGAGTTACCATCGCTACCTCTTGTGTACAACAAAAGGATCGTCAAGATAAAAATATTCTATTTTCAAATTTATAGGCCAACATCTGGGCCAACAAAATAGCTTCATGCGTGTAAAAACGCAACTTAATTAAAGTTATGTAAATCTTCCAACTTAGTTTTCGGTCTAGACACAAAAATCTAGAATCTACTGGGTATATACTACAGAGAAATGTAGAACTAACCTGGAGGCGGTTTAAGTTTCAGCTCCAGGAAATGACTCTCAATACTTCCAATAGAGTTCCACGCTCTACATGTATAGTTTCCAACGTAAGATTCATCCATTTTATTTATTTTTAATATTGACTCTTCTTTAGATTTATTCGTCATTGTTTTATTCTCATTCCTCATTATCCATTGTACCCAGGGAGTTGGATTACCTTTCACGACGCAGTGATGGTTCAAAGAATCGCCAGCTCCTAGTACTTTGTTTTCTAGCGAGGTGGGCTCTGTAAACATTGGCTCAGCTATAGAATGACGAGCAATTAGGTTCAACATTGTGGTGAAAATGATAGAATACTAAACTATACATAAAATAGAATACCACCTCGTGTAATACAATCATGTCTCCAGTTTTTTTCCGTGTGCCCTTTATATATTTTCCGTGTGCCAAAATATGACTGGGAGTGAGAATTAGAAAGTATAAACAAAGCTAAGACTAAGTTTTCCTTCGCGAAAAGTTTTGTCTTCCTGTCTAATTTGAAATATTTTTAGAACACACCTATTGAGTACCGAGTTTGTCTTGATCTTTTGTGTTTTGACTTTTGTTTTGGCTTCCACAACAACCTTGAAACTGTATTTTTAAACGACGATTTCTGTATATATCCAGTTCAGAACTATTGTTTTTCGTAAAAACCCCGCTATAGGATGGGTTATCACCTTTACAATACTTTTTTCCCCATTTTAATTCTCGATATAAAATACTTTTGCAAACGTTTTTGAAAAAACAATTCGCACTACCCGCAACCGCGCGAAATTCCCTCCCGCAGGAGTCTGGGGCGAGTCAAAATGCCCTTTGAAACCCATCATTTTGTGGAGACGAAATTTTGACTGAGAGAGAAAGATAGGAATACGCATTCTGTATCTATTATTTCTATGAATACAACACAATTAAGTCTCGAACTTACCAACAACATTAAGATACATATTCCTCCTAATACTTCCTATCTGGTTTTCAACGACACACGTGTAGAAGCCTGAGTGCGAGATTTCTGGTTCACAAATTGCCAACTCTGTATGTTCTTTATTCTTGTAATAATAACCACTTTTCTGATCTCCACAATTTAATGATTTTATCTCTTTAGCTTCAACTGGCTTACTATTTCTTAACCATATTACTTTGGGGTAAGGATTGCCCGTCACATTGCAAAACAAAACCGTTTCTTCGACTTTATCCTGGTCAGCTGTTTGGTTTTGTAAATCTAATATCACCGGAGGACGAAGTGCTGAAAAAGAAAAACAGCGAGTTTGGTGAAAAGTGTATTAATGTGGGGCTTGAATGACGTAGTCGTCAGAGCAAAGACCAGTGAACTGTAATAACACTGGAACGCTAACTGCAGATAAACATGCCCATACCATTGCCTGAAGCCAAGATGGCGCTTCTTACGAGCTCAGCGAGCAATAAATTAACTTTCAAAAGGACTGGGGAGAGTTTCGAGGAGCGGGAAATTCAGTCAAAAGTTTGTTTTTGAGCAATCTCGTTCCCCGAGCCTGCGATCCTCGGGAAGGAACGCGAGGCTCTGGGATAATCCATTTCAGGGAGGAATCTGATTGGCCGTTGAAATGGAATGCGTAGTTCAATCTTAGCCACAATTCCTGGCTTCCGGTAACGGATTATCCCAGAGCCTCGCGTTCCTTCCCGAGGATCGCAGGCTCGGGGAACGAGATTGGTTTTTGAGCGAAAATCAGCAAGAAAAAGTACTTTTTTATCAAAAGGCTTCAACTTTAAAGATTCAAACCTGGTTTCCTGGATAGTTCTAAGTATTTTACATCCACTAACAGCAAAAACTTCCTGGGTAACAGCTTGACATTCAAAATATTACACAAGTTTGAACGTGCCGAAAAAAACTTCGCACTTTGACTCCTGAAAAAAGAACTTTATAACTGCTCTACGTTCTGGAAACATGTTTTGTATTAAATTTCAGGTATTGTTGAAAGTTTTTAGCTTTTTTCTCGGTGGCATATTTTCCACTCCATACGTACATGGCGGCCGTCATGAGTGGCTTCAAAGATGGCCGCCAAGTTATCGTTCCAGTTCCCTTAGAGTTCACTGGCAAAGACTCGCAGTCGCCTTTCACCTCTGAGATCGTGGCTTCGATTCTCTCTATAGACTCATGTGAAAAGAATCAGTCAACGCTCTGCTGACCGGGTGGTTGACAGGGTGGGTTAGGATAAAACACAGTTATAAGAAACTAATATCACAATTGTTGTAAAATGGCCTAAGTGTGAAGTTAGGTGAGCGTATAATACTTGATGTAAAGCACATTTGATCATATCTACATGGAAATTCGCGCTATAGAAATGTTAATCTTAATGTTAAAACAACTTTGTAGACGAAATGAGATAATTTATACCACAAGTTGTTTTAGCTATAGTTCGCCATCCCTCGTTAATAGGGAGCTTTAGATTTGACTACGAGTACGACTACGAGTACACAGAATAGGAAGTTATACCAGAAGCGTAACTCTAGTCGTTTCCCTTATTGTTTGACGTCCACGAAAATTTTTAACTCGCTCACGTCAGGCCACGCCATCCTGGCTAGTACAGCCGGAAGTTTTTATCAGGATTTGGTAGGTACAAAGTGCCGGTTGTACTAGCCAGGATGGCGTGATTGATGACGAATCGCTTGTAAAAACGCGGACAAATGTTTGCTCGAGTTACGCTTCTGGTATAACTTCCTATTCTGTGACGAGTACGAGATTCGTCAAGCTAAACGCATGCTGTATGCTTACGCCATCTCGTACTGACGCGAAAAAGTCGTAGCCGTCGCCCATCTGAGTACGAAATTGTGGAGAAATCTCGTAGTCCTCACTACGACTTTAAAAAAAAAAAAAAGAAAGTTGACTTTTTTTTGTTTACCAAAAATAATTTGTAGCATTTATATAGCGTTTATCCGGCGCAAATAATATATTAGTACTAAATATCTGGCCTGTTTTTAATGTTATGACTTATTTTCACGTTTTGTAGGGGATTTTAGTCTGCAGGAGATTTAGTTTATGAAACTTTTTCTCTCGATGTTGGTTTACTGCTATAAAAGCAACATTTGAATGGAAACGAAAACGACTACGGTGATCTCCTCGCACGCGATCAAATCTCGTACTCGTAGTCGTACTCGTAGTCAAATCTAAAGCTCCCTAATGTCCAGACAAACCGGACGCGATTCGACAACGCGACACAATTTTTTAGTTTTTGAATGTTAATAAAACAGCCAATGAGAGCAAATTTTAAAATATATGTAGACCAAATAACTCAAAATGTTATAACGCTTCTAAATTTTTGGAAAATTTAAACTAGGATCAAAGTTTCGGTCGGTGAAAATCGAAACTAGAATCGCGTCTGGTGTGTCTGGACCTTTAGGGTGAGGGGGCAATGCCACAGTTAAGGTCAGAAGGATTATGGTATAGGTCGCGGGAAAAGAAGAAAAAGTTATACTAAGTTTACATCCTCGTAATTTTCTTTATACTTTTCGCTAGAGTTTCGAGAAGACAATAGGGAGCTTAAGATGAAAAGGAAGCTTAAAATGAATAGGTCCCGTTTGTGCTCTAAGCAACTGTTTTCTTGTCAAGTTTCCGTACTCGAATAAGGCCGTTTTCCACTTGAACCGTATCGTACCGAAGTGTAGCATATTTCTTTATTTCCTGAGCACTAGAGTGGGACTAGTGAAAAAAGTGAAAAAACGGCCTTAAAGCTACCCAATATGTGAATTACTGGTAAAGGGCTTCAACTGGGTGGTATAAATCTTCGATTCTACTTGCGCACTCAACAACTCAAAAGTTTGATTAGGAAAGTAATAGCAAAATAGACTTTCCTGTCTATCGCACTTTCGCCCCAATGGTCTCGTTTTCACGTTTGTCTTTTTTTAAGCATGGTAGGCGGCCATGAAAGTTATAACTAATACTCCCATGTTCTATAATATTTTTCTCGTTGATCTTGAGCCCAATCACAAGCCTATCCTTAAACTTAAATTGTGCACAAAACATGAGGAAATAACCACATGAAAACGAGGCTAATGGGGCAAGAGTGCAATAAACAGTACAGTCTAATGTGATAAGATAATATTTTAAAGGAAATGCACTTTCGCTTGTACGCCTTGCATGCACGACCTTCTAACTACGCTTATCTTAACATCCTACACTCGCTTCAAAGTTCTTCTTCGGAATAAGCTTTCTGCATGAGAGGGTTAAAAAGGTCTGTATAAGCCAGTGACATGCAAGGGTTTAAAAATAATGACAGATGCGAGACACCTCACCTTTTACAGTCAAAGTTACAAATTGAGAATAGTCATTGGTACTGACGCCTTTTTCACTACATCGGTAAGTTCCGCTGTCGTTCAGTGTGAGATTTCTTATCACCATTGTTATGTTACGAAAGTCCTTATCCTGTGTCATTGTAATATTTGTTCGATTATCATTTGTCATTACTGTTCGATTATCTCTATAGAACACAATATTTCCTCCAAACACGACTATAACTCGACAGTTTGCAATAAATGTCTTTCCTTCATTTTTAACGGCTGATTTTGGAGTCACTACAATTGGTTCTTTGCCTTGTCCTAGAAAAGGAAATGGTTGATATTTTCAAACAAACTGCATGGATTCATTAACATTGCAAAATTGTTGGTTCAGGTACAGATATAGGGTTACTACAAGAAACATGAATCATGTCGTCCCATATAGGCTCTTGTAGTCTTGTTATTACTGTAGCTATCTAATAATTTCTAATCTAGGACTAGGACTAATACTAGCATTTTTCTAGTATCGGTGTACGGTAGGAAAAACTCAATTGAAACCATTGAACTAAAATATATTTTAGTTCAATGATTGAAACTCAATTGAATTACAATTTTTGCAATATGCTTTGAAGAAATTGGCAACTGTAAAAGGGAGAAAGTACTTGATCGTTGTATATAATTGTAAACCGGTTATATTTTTGCTCAAAAGTGCTGTCTGAATTCTGGAAATGTTATTTCAAATAACTTTTTTCATTGAGGCAAAATCATGAATTTTACGGGGGAGTGGTGGGACCCCGGGATGACTCATTATACATGACCCACTTCCATTTTCTTCTCATTCTTCTTCTGAAAAAAACGGTAAACTAAAATGCTTGTATTATAATCCTAAGTCGCAGGTTCTATTTTTCGCTTTCCAATCAAAATGTCTAAGGGGAGGGAGGTGTCAAAAATCACATAATAACAAACACTCTAATTATAGTTAGGTACAACTACGAAATCTACCATGAACAATTATAGTATTTCTAATTAACATCAACCAATCAAAAACAACACACTAAAATTTCTTTGTCTGATGGATTAATCAGGTGAGAAGCTGGATTTGGACTTTTTTCCCTTCCATCCACCCCCATTTAGGGAAGGGAAAATAGCTTCATACTGATTTCATCTGCCTCGTCCACAGGCACTGTGTAAAATGTGGACGAAGCAATTATTTCATATAGTAATTCCCACGCAATACAAGTCGCGCTGGGGTTAATGCATGCGTCTCTCATCGCTGCAGGGTTTGATTCCTGCAATAATCCGGTTTCCTCCTATGGTACGACTAGATCTATAAGCGGAGATCAGTTATAAGAACGGATAGAACTAACCAGTGCAACCACATCCTCGTCCCCAGGGCCTCTCGCGTCCTACCTGGGACACACGGAACCGGAAGTACAAGAAAACTTGCAGTAGTTTCTAAAGCGCATGCTCTTGAATTGGGACGCTTTAGCACCTGTAACATTTTTCACAGAGAAGTATTACGAAGAAACGAAGTATTTGTGCTGACATATGTTCATAGAATAACTTTGCCTTGCGAAAATTGCTCAACTTCTGCGAAATAGCAGTACTCTGAGAAGCCAATCAGATTTCCCCTTTTAGTCGTCTAACCTAGAGCCCAATTTTCAACAAGTGACCGAGTGAAAATGGCTCTGGGGACGAGAATGGTGCAACCAAAGCTAGTGTAGTTCAGTTCTATACAGTTGCAGATACTTATCTCAGACTACATTCACACTATGCCGGACCGCTTTGGAAACGGCGTGGAAAAGTCACAATAAGCTGTCGTGTTTACACAACGCCGGAGCGAAATTGTTTAAAAACGTCACTTTTGCCGTTAACAATGGCATCACAGAGTAGATACATATACAGAGTTATAACTAGTGTATCCACTTTTTTTGTGCGCGTGCTCGGCAAGTTACTAAATGCATGCATCTCATTGGATGGCGGCTCGCTTTAACTGCTCGCGGAACTTGCTGAGTACGCGCAGTTGATCACTTTTCGTCCGGTCGCCTGAAAGAAAGTGGGTACATTAAAACGTAAGTTTCCGCAGTGTTTACAACGGTCAGTTACAGCTCTGTATATATCTCCTCTGTGACAGTTTCTAAACGGAGCGAGATGAAAACGGAGCGCTTGGCGGCTTCGTGTGAACACAAACGCCGTTACTTTTTTTATACCGCTTGCAAACCAAGCATCTCAGATCTCAAAACAGTAGATTCGAATGCTTTTCCATTTAAATTTCTTTGCTCTATTTGAAATATCTTGGGTTTTTATGAGTGCTAATTTAATTTGTAAACAAACCGTAACAGCGTAGTGTGTAGTGTGGACATGTAGTCTCAATTTCGTCCGCCGCGAGGATTTTGAAGAAATATTTTATTACTTACGACCCCATCATTATTGTTTCAATGAAAATAAATAATTCTGAAGAGTTTTAGCAAGCACGAGCTGAAATTTTTAAAATTGTCTCATATCAAACAGCACTCAACGCACGGTGTGTTAAAGGCGCGCGGGTCGAATGACCATAAAAGGGCCTGGATATTTGACTAAAAGTAAATAGATAAACTTATACGGTAATTCTGAGGGAACTAAAGGTAAATATCCGTGCAACTGGATGATTAATAGCTCAATTACGTGCAGATTCTTACCATATCGTATAAACTTGAACACTCTACTGTCGTTACCATAATTATTTCCAGCAAAACATCTGTAGAATGACGATTTCTCTTGTTCCCATGGGATTGTTAGAATACTGTCATATCCTCCTCTGTGTGTTGGAACTAACTCTGACTCATATTTTGAAACGGTCCATTTATCTTCATCAGGATCTGCCTCTGGAGAAGACGTTGGTAAATCTTGTTGTGACCATGTGACTGTAGGTCTCGGATTAGACAGGTTTATTATACATTTGATCTTTTGATCAAGGGTTTTTCTTTGTGCGAAATATTTGCTATTTTCACGACTGATCTTTGGAGAGACTAAAAAGAAATAATAGGTTGAAATAATGCAAATAGGATAACAAGTCTTTCTGAATTTCGACGTTACTAGCCTTGACTAACTCTTCCGTGAGAAAATATTCTAAAAAAAAAGTTGCAGTCAAAAATTCGTTCTTTGTATGTTTGCATGGCGAAAAATATAATAGTTTTGTTTGTGGAAACACCACGTAAATTTATTACTGCAAAGCTTTCGATCCGTAAGCCCGGATCTTCATCAGCTTACGGATCGAAAGCTTTGCAGTAATAAATTTACGTGGTGTTTCCACAAACAAAACTAGTCAAAAATTCGTTGAGGGAATGTTTGATCATGACGTCACAGCCGATATTATACTGTAGTTCGTTGCATTGTCGTGGTTCGATGGTTAGACATCTAATCACGAATAAAAGTGAACTACATTAGAAATATTGCTTTCATGTGTCGAACCGAGGAAGGAAATCTATATGAAGCCCAAAAATATACAAATTTAAAGAATTACACTCGACGGAAATTCAACGTCTTAAACAGGCCTTGGTTCAATTATTTGAAACTTCGATGCTTCATTTATCACAAATGTTGGTCATTTATCCAAAAGGCAAGACGCCATACGCCAAATTGCAAACAAAACGCCAGATTGTTGTGATGTTGTTAACTAACAAGTATAATCAAATGACGACCAGGCTCCAGTTCAGTGCACCTGGAGAGCATTACTTTGCAGGCTAGCCCTCCATCGTTGTGTGAAAGCCTCGCGCTGATTCGGTATAAGTTAGTATTTTACAAATTGCAAATACAATATTGTTCTTTTATTGTTCCGTAAATTTTGAAACTGCTGTATTCTTTGCTTGCACATGACGTCACTACGTGTAGGCGCCATCTTGGTTGATTTTAAAGTTTTGTCCAGCCGTTTACATCGAAATAGTTGAGTTACTTTAATATTTGTATCTGCGAAGCAGATATATTGCTATCGCAAACGTACTGTACCGTACCGTACTGTTACCGTATCCCTAGCCATTCAGCGACGAGCTTATATAATTGAGCCAATTTAAGCCAATCAGCGATTAGTTTACATCTATTGTTTATATCGTGCCCGCATCTAACCTGCGAACGGACATAGTTTGGCCTCGTGTAATCGTGTTATTCTTTTCAATTCTTTGCCATTTTCACATTTTGGCTTCAAAAATATCTTGATTTTGTCTTGTTTTCACGTGCCATTCTACTTGCGATATTATTCCGAAGTTATCTATCAACATGGAAACTTATCCTCATCTGGTAAGTAGTCAAATACCACATATTTTATATATTTATACAGTAAAACAATCATTGTGTTGTGTATATTTTAATTAAACAGTCAAAACATAGCACTGATAGCAGGCAATATATTTGCCAATGAACAATGTCACAGGAACTAATGTTCTCAGGAGATGTTCTAATGTTCTCAGTCCAACTAAGCTGTTATTATTTTGCTTTCTAACATAAATGTTTGTTTTAACAGACATTGTCTCAGATTGATACAAGAATGATAAATAAATATACTGGATATTGGCTGGATAATTTTGTCAGAACAACGGAATAGTATGGAAAATAACTTAACAGCTACAATGATCATATATATTTGTATGGATGGATCAGATCAATGGCACACAATGTACAAACTAAACTTGTGATATATACTTTCTACTCAAACCGATATTCTCCCACAACACAAATTGTTTTTGGGTGGATATGCTGTGTTAAACCGAACAGTTGTCAGTGTGGTATATCATTATATTGTGCACAGGATTTGAATTGAATTATATATATACTTCATTCATGACCTTCAAAACATTCTCTACTATTCAGTGGTCTTTGATATATGATTGACTCACTGCTATAGTAATGCATGTTCCTCGAATAGTTTGTGTATGTTACTCAACAGCTAGTTAACATTGGCAAGTGTAAACAACAAGTGACGGAACCTTTGCTTCATATGATTACAATAAAGTTTTGAAAATTCGATGAGTATGGATTGACACATGACAGTTTACTAAATAGCCTGCTGTCGGCTGTATAGACACTTAGAATATTGTTTGCATGAAAATTTATTTCCTGACTACATAATTATCCGTTACAATCATAATCACATTATAAAATTAGTTAAATTTTCTTGGCGGAGGCGGTTGCCTGCGGCCCTCCACACTGTGTACAGCCCTGTTAGATGTGTATTATGTTTGACTTTAAAATCTCATTTGCTATTATATTATAATATAATATAAGTGATGTGTATTATGTTTGACTTTAAAATCTTATTTGCTGTTATATTATAATATAATATAAGTGATGAAATATTTCAATTGTCTCTTATCATCATTATTCAGTTCCTTTCAAGAAAATACAAAATGTGAACCAAGTTTTTTTTTTCGCAGATACATGTACGCGTCGCGTACCTATTTTTTTGGTTTGTTTTGAAAACATCTTACTGTATTATGGGTAGTCTACGATTTCTGGCACAATACGACAAAGAATGAAGAATATATTAGATTTTTAGTTACCACGAAAATCATCCAAGATGGCGTCGTTTGCAAACGAACAATAGACTGCTATATATATATTATATATATATACTGCGGCGATATGTATTATTCATACAAACAAGTGCGTGCGTCCAACACGTTCGGCCATCCTGAACTAAAACGTTTACCCTTTAATGCGGACATATATAATATAATAAATAATTTAGTATCAAAGCGGGTTTATATATAAGTATGGATAAATCGTACCTGTAACATTAACACGGAAATTGATCGTATCATTTCCAACAGAATTGCTTGCTTCACATCTGTACATGCCATCGTTTCCGGCAAAAGTAGCGAATCTTATCATTAACTCGTGATATCCAGTCAAATCATAATTATCCTTTGAGCATGCGGTAGTGATATTCTGTGATATATCAACGCTATCAATTGTCTTTCCAGAACAGAATATTATTAGACGGTCCTTATGATAACAACTGATATTTGGTGACGGTGAACCAGTCACATGTAGTACAATTTGCACGTCGTCACCTTTGTTAACAACGAAAATAGCTTTCATATCTCCAAAAACAGGTGGTTTTTCCCCTGTAAAAGATAAATTAAAACAGCATTTTCCAAAAATCCAAAGAAAGCGAAAATTGTATTACTTTCTGCACTCCTATACAACATTCAGGGTGCAATGTATATAAAAAATAATCCAACTTCGTGCTTTAAGTACTACAGAAGTGGAAAAATGTGATTTTGATTGGTAATTTTTAATCCTATCGTATTTAGCCATTTTTATTCCCAATGATATAAGAAAATTAATCATTTATCGTCTTGTTGCATGGGGAGGGGGGACAGGACGAAGCAAAGCCCCTGTCGGGAAACTAACTGCCCCTGTCACAAAGCCCCTCCAGGTGATCTCGTGTTCGTATTTTAGCCAATCAGCGCTCAGAAAGGGTTGTCCAAATAGAAATCCATTTTGATGTATTCAGTCAATTATATCTTTCGTTATTCTTTATGAAACTAGTTGAAATTTTGTAATTATGTTTGGTTATGAGAACTCTAGCTCTGACAAAAATATGGAATCGAAATAAAGTATATTACAGGAGATATTCAGTTGTTTTAATCATAAAATGGATTTCTATTTGACAACTAGTGCCAGTACTTTTCCGCGTATCAAGATCATCTGGTGTCGGGAAAGTATAACTGTCCCTGTCACAAAGCCCTGTCTGGGAACTGCCCCCATCGGGGATAAGTTGGCATTTAGTACTTACGTTTGACCTGCAAAACTCGTGCTCGTGTTGCTCGTTTACCACTCTTTTCAGTAATTTCACATCTATAAGTACCAGAATCTTCAGGAGTAACTTTCTTAATGGAATACACTTCAACACTTTTACTTGAATCTGTTCGAACAGTTATAAGATTTCTTGGAATATAATCTTCATTTCTTGTACCATTTATTTTGCGCAATCTTAACCATTTCATTTGTGTCGATCCCTTCCCATACTCACAACGAAATTCAAAGCTTGTGCCCTCATCAACAACACTTGACTGTACAGCGGGTTCAATTTCGAAGGAATATTTTGTCACTGCAAGAAATAAAAACATACTTAGGTTACGTAACTGAATAATTCTGTAACTTAAAAAATTCTGTTTTTTAAAGTTAGTAAATATGTTACGGTACATGATTGCATGTGTCCCAAACAAAATAACTTAAAGCCAAATGTGAAGTCAAATCATTATTCCCGCCAATGTAAACTACCTGATAAAGATCAGGATTTGGGGCATCTCGTTCGATGTAACCATGGATACTAAAATAAATGGATAGGAAACTAGCTGACGTGACCTAATGTTTTCAATGGGCCGATGGCGTGATTGGATGTTGAAACCTAGTTGCAAACCAAATTCTCAAAAACGGCATGTTTAGCAATAATACAGCTAATCATTTTAGTCAAAGAGCAAATGAATAGAACTACGCCATTCTACGATGAAATCTCTAAGTATTCCCAGTCAATTTTAGCAAATATTTCAAGCACTAAACAGTGAAAAATGCAAATGTAAAAAAAATGCAAAACAAAGACGAAAAACATTTACCTTGAATACTTTGTCGTGGCTTAGGCATGTTTTTAAAACAATTAAACCAGTTTATGCTTCAATATTACTCTTTTAATGCGGAAAGTATAGCGAAACAACAAAAATGCCGAGAATTTTGCAATACGCGTGACGTCACAGATTGGAACTAGGTTGTTTTTGCTTACGTCAGCTAGAGTCCTATCCATTTATTTTATTATCCATGATATAACTAATGGACCATTCCCCAATTAACCAAAATTTTGATCTCAACAAGTCTAGACAAAATTCCATCATAGCATGAAAGAGCATCACAAAATTAGTAATATTCCAAAGTTTCGTTGCGAAATGTTGTAAAATGCGGATAATATAGCCTTGCGAAATTTGCAATTTTCAGTCATTTTAGATTACAAACGAGAAATGGTTACCACTTTTCCAAAATTTTGATCTTAACTAGCCTAAACAAAAATTTCATCACAGCTTGAAAGAGCATCACAAAATTAGTAATATTCCAAAGTTTCGTTGCAAAATGTTGTAAAATGCGGATAACATAGCCTTGCGAAGTTTATAATTTTCAGTCATTTTGTATTACGCACAGAAGTGGTAACCATTTCCCGTTTGTAATCTAAAATGACTGAAAATTGCAAATTTCGCAATTTTACAACATTTTGCAACGAAACTTTGGAATATTACTAATTTTGTGATGCTCTTTCAAGCTGTGATGAATTTTTGTCTAGACTTGTTGAGTTCAAAATTTTGGTTAATTGGGGAATGGTCCATTGTTCAAGCCTTGAAGGGATTTGTAGTATTTTGTAAAATTTTTGTAGTATATTGTGAAATTTTTATATATTTATTAGACCTAACCAGGAACAGTTGCGAAAAATGCAACTATCGGCCCATTCAGGTGCAGCGTTGTAACCAACAGAGCGTGACTCGTCCCCAGTCGTCTCTGTGAGGACGCGCGAAACGGGCACAGAGACGACTGGGGACGAGTCAGCAACAGAGCTACAACAGAGCTCTAACCACAAGTTCATGTATAGCTAAATTAGGGGTGCACCGGATTTGGAATTTTCAAATCTGGCCGGAACCGGATTTGCCGGATTCAGACAAAAATTCCGGCCAGAATTCCAGCCGGATTTGGAATAAATTAGGATAATTGGGGATAAATCGAGATAATTTAGTTTTTCAAAATTTAATTTAATAGCTTAGCCCTTGTACAAATATAAACTATAATGATAATATAGGAACGAGTTGTTTCCTTGGCGTGTCCTCAGAGGCAAGTCGTAAGATACTATTTCGACACTAAACCAACTTTTAAACTCATGTAATAACGAAAGAAATGATTAAATAAAGAATACTGCTTTAAGGACAACGAACTAACTCTTTCCGAAACATGCAACAAATATCTACATGCAATACGAGATCGGATTGGTAAGACTACGAACACAATAGGGCCATTTATACGGAACAAAATAAGACGCGACTTACATAAGACGCGACTTAGGTAAGACGCGAGTTTGTCGTATAAAAGGTACAAAATTCTTATGTAAGACGCGTCTTGGATAAGACGCGTCTTACATAAGAACAGGTCTTTTAGCTGTTCTTATTTAAGTCGCGTCTTAAATAAGAAATTTTGGACAAAAAGTCTAACTATACACATGCCAGAAACTTGAAACAACGTAAAATTTAATGCCTTGCATAATAAAACAAAAACAACCAAAACAACATTATAGCTATAGCAAATAAATAAGACCAAAGCCGTAGAGAACCATTTATGCGATAACTCCACTTATTTAAGTCGCGTCTTATGTAAGTCGCGACTTATTTTGTCACGTATAAATGGCCCTA